CCCTGTGAGTTCCTGAGCCTTTCTTGTGGCTCTACCTGGAGAATTTGGTTGTTTGGAACTGCTGACTTTGTGGGTAGCAGCCCAATGTGTAACCATTATGCCACCAGGGTTCCTGTCTCTAAGTAAGCAGACTTTAAAATCAACAAACATAAATCTATCACAAGCGAGTACCTACAAAAAGAGGAATTCCCCTTGAGAGACCACACAACCTTGCTAGTGAAATGCCATCCATCTGAACTCCTTCCTACCTGGCACAGAGCTAATCCCGAATATATTGTCAAGTTCCACCACTTCCAGCCTCCCTCTACAAACACCCAGGTCTCAAAAATCATTCCCCAATACAACCAACCCTATTTCCCATCTCATTCCATGGGCCTGGCATTAAATGACATTGAGTCATTAACAAAAACAACCAACAGACAAAAAACTCCTCACCCTTAAAGAATAAAGATGTTCGGTCATTCGAGAAGAAATAAACACAGAGGCTGTGGTCTAAAATCTGAATTACAGAGGCTCTCTGAGCCTCTGTTACTTTGTCCCCCGACTTTTAGAGCTGTGTCTGTCTTTCAGCATCCACAGGTGTTAGCATAAATGGCCAGAATCTCACCACCATTTTATGACTCAGGTACCTTCGTTTTGTGGCTGGGAAGCACAGGCATGTATATACTTTGAGATTTTTCTTTCTTTCTTTCTTTCCTGTTGCTTTCTTCTGGATTTCTAGTTAAGGACAAGAGATCCCAATGTCTGCTCCTCCACCCCCACCCCCCACCAAAGTCACGCCGCATTAAAGAAGAGGGAAGGAAGGAGGCACCGAGTCCCCGCGGAGGGCTAGGAACTTAGAGACAGACCGACATTTCCCGCTCGGTTTGCCGAGTGTTCTCAGCCAAGCTCACGGAAGGGGTGGGAGAAGGAGGCATGTCTCTGGGCCCAGTGCTGCCATTTGCGGAGTCCAGAAAAGTTTCCCTTACATTTGAGAACTGTCCAGGGGGGCTGGGGCCGTGCTCAGAGAGGATCATGTCGCCTCTTTGGGGATGGAGAGCGCCGCGCGGGCGCACACACACCTGGTTTCACACACCTGAGGCATCTGTGGGTCGTTGATGTCCCAGTTGAACTTCATCCCATAGGAGCACAGGTCGTCCACCTTCGGCTCGGCATCGGCAGGCATTTACGTGCCTTTCTTGGTTCAGGATTCTGAAAGACAGACGAAAAAAGAAGAGGGGGGAAGCCCCAGAGGTGTGTATGGTGACAGAGGTCCGTGTTTTGTGCGTGTGAGGTTGAGGGAGGGAGAGAAAGAAAAAACAAGCTACATAGCAATCGGGAAGAGGCCCTGTCCACGGAGGCGGTGCTGAAAATTCTTCCCCACACGCAGTGAAGG